GGGATATCTAATTATATCCTGATCGGGATATAATTTCAAACTATATCCCGTTCGGGATATAAAAAAAATTTTGCTGCAGAAAATGATATCCCAATCGGGATATATATCCGGATTGGGAGTATATCCCGATCGGGATATGTCTCCACACTGACGGAAGAAAAAATATTGTTCATTTAAAACAGTATTCATGAAATTCTCGAATCAAGTTTTTATATTGATAGGTCAATAAGCAAGCTTTTCACAGAGACATGTAGGTTTCACCAATACAAATGATGCGGGATGAGTTATTTCTCCTTTTATAATGCTTAAACAAGAAATCTTTTGGTCACCGACCATAAAATAGTCACAATTCTTCAGGATCGTTACATGTTGCACGATAAATACCACCGTAGATGATATATGGCATGGAAGAATGCAAGTAATGAAGCCAATACGAAGATGACCGTCAGCTTTATATATAATACAACTATCATCGGTATCTGACTATATGAGGTATCCTTCGAACTATAACGTAGCCCGCCAATAAAGGCAGTTTTGTAAAGTGTCTATGAATTCTGAGACCAAATTTGTTTTATTATATTGACCACTTATGGAACAGTGGAAGAAAGGACACAAACGAATGATTTCTTCCGGTATTGATTTTGATGTAAATTCGATCGGAGGATCGGGTAGAGCACGACTAGTAGAAGCAAAAAGACGATCAATGGACAGTTTCAATTATTGATTGTTGGGCACCGAAGAAAGACCGACATACGCTTGATATATCATATCAAGGTTGTTTGCAAAGTCAGTTAAAAAACCGCTGAAGGTTTTAAGTGTTGAGGCAAGAAAACCTTAATTATGAAGTTAACAACATGGAATAACAAAAAATAAATATATCAATGACGGCCTCAAAATGAAAAGTTGTGTAGTTCCACAAAGGTACACATCTGACGATGCATTCCGGCACGTGACTTATCGCATGAACAATGGGAACAACATGTCATTTCAAGAGACAGAGAGGAGTAATATTTACGACACGAATATATATGAACTACCGAGAGCCTAAAGTGAAATTCTGGTCTACTCTTCAGACACTGTTTCATAAAACACTTATAAAAGAAACTATTATATTATTTACAAAGATCTATGCGTTTTTTCTTAGTAACTCTTGTTCTTATAAAATGTATGTACATTTTTATCGATACGTCCAATCGAGCCATATAAATGTTATAGTAGTAAAAACGTTAATTATTAAACAGCAATTCATGTATCGTGGTTAGGTCAACATGGCTGTCCATTTGGGTTATCGAGTGCAAAAGGTTAGTCATGGAATAATTAATTTTCAATGGTCTCGTAGTTCTAAATATTCTTGGTTAAAATTGCCATATTCTGCAAAATTTTTGTATTTCAGTGCTTCAATTGACATATATGTCGCTATCCATCATGCATAAAAACTTTCTTAATATTTCCAAAATGCTAATATACACTAAATCTTGATTTGAAGTGAAAGACGCTGCGATTATACACTTAAATAGAATTTACTTTTAAATTAATTTTTTTCTCATAAATCATCGCAAATCAACATTACACTTGATGTCCATTTTAAAGAGGACACTCTGGGCTATCTACTAAAGGCAAGAAATCACCATATTGTCACTACTATTTTTGGAGGACTTTAATGAAATGTACTCCACTATCTCCTTTCATTTTTGCGTTATTCGAAATATGACTGCTTAATAAAATGGATAGTAATTTATCTTATATAAATATTTTCTCTTTTTTTGTGTTTCTTTATGCATGCCCTGTGTCAAAAAAGGTAAGAAAGTTTATAATTTATTCAGTTGGAAAAAACTGAATCTACTTCGAGATTGGTTTTTTCTTTTATACCAGTTCATCGAAGTGATGATGTTTATGCTAATGCACTGAATTATCATAAGAGAGTTCTTGCAACAAACAAAATCTTAGTTCTGCCTACTCACTCTGATCTTTCAATGGCGTACAATAATATTGGAGAAGCTCACCAGAGTCAAGGTGATTATGCAAAAGCAGCTCTTGAAATACATTAAATTCGCTTCCGCAAAACTACCCTGATCTTGCAGTATCATACAGTAATACTGGCGAACTTCATAATAGTAGGGGTGGCATTTGCTGATTTGATGCTGATTCTAAATATTACATTGGTTTTGCACACAAAAAATGGAAGTTTGACAGTAAAAGCTGCAAAATACAAGTGCATTTCCTTATTTTTTCGCAGTCTGTTACAAAAAATTAATTTTTACAAAAACGAAGCAATACTTTCCCAAACCGTAACTTTTTCATGCCGATGGGGCGAGTTTAACGATATAAAAATTTAGGTTTCATCTGAAATCTTTTTGCCGCCACGTGTACGGATAGGGTTTTGTTTATTTTAATAAATTAATTTGTATTTTTATGTAGAAAAATATATATATGTCATTGTTTCTCCTCATAAATACCAACATACACCGCATACGGTTCTCCTCATGGCTACCAATACACTAAAACGTCTATAACGATCTGTAGTATTATGATTTTTCGAGAGCACAAAAAAATAGTCTTTTTTTTGTAAGTTTCTTATAATTCTTCTCCTTCTCCTAAGTTGTATGTTTTTTTTATCAGTCGTTAAAGGTAACACGTACTGCTCTTTAAAAAAAGCTTTAGAATAAAAAGATCATTTTTTCCTTTCGTGCCAACATATACATACTCGTAGTTGTTGAGTAATTTGACAATAGATGGAAGTGGTATAAAAGAAAAAACCAATCTCGTAGTAGATTCAGTCTTTTCCAGCTCAATAAATTATAAACTTTCTTACCTTTTCTGATACAGGGCATGCATAAAGAAACACAAAAAAAGAGAAAATATTTATATAAGATAAATTACTATCCATTTTATTAAGCAGTCATATTTCGAATAACGCAAAAATAAAAGGAGACAGTGGAGTACATTTCATTAAAGTCCTCCAAAAATAGTAGTGACAATATGGTGATTTCTTGCCTTTAGTAGATAGCCCAGAGTGTCCTCTTTAAAATGGACATCAAGTGTAATGTTGATTTGCGATGATTCAGGCATAGTATTGCATTATGTTGAAGCGCCATCACTGATATACGGTGATTTGAAGTAACCTTGAAATCGAAGCCATCATACGTAATTGACCATGCTGAATTCGATGACAATGGATATTTCTGAAGAAGAATTTCCAAAACGGGTGAAAATTGACGTTTGATAAACATCTTGGCTACATGATTATTATTAATCTTATTCTAGATTTGTTACTTATTTTCACATGGTGGACATCGATTTAGAGCGTTGTTCAAATGCAATTTCTTCTTGGAACAGCGATCTAGACATTGCAACATATTCTGATCATGTAACTGTTTGGCTTGATGCATATATTGGTAATCCAAAGGACTATCATACATTAAAAGATAAATTTGGAACAAATATACAACCCTTAATTACACTGAATCAAAATGAAAAGGAGCTTGACGAATATCCGGTCAATTACGAAAATCCTGAAACGTTGAAAAAATTAAGAGATACTGTATATTGTTTGAAAGCATTTTTTGAAGTTGATAAATGCTTAGAATTCATTAATTCAAATCAAGATAAGAAAATATTTTCCATCTCATCTGGTACGATGGGTAAACAAATTGTGCCAAAAATAGCTGAATTAAGTCAGATTCATGGTATTTATATATTCTGCGGATATATTTCGGCTCATACGCAATGGGCCATGGACTATGTCAACAATATATCGGCAATGTTAGAACATCAAGATGATTTGTTAATACGTTTAACAAAAGACATCGCAAAATATTTAGAAGAGAAGGGTGATCAGTATGCTCAAAAATCTGATGAAAGAACTAGAGCGAAAAATTGTTATACATGGGCTATGAAATTAATATTGCGTACAAAAGAACTAAAGGGTACAAATTATCAAAAACCTATGAACATTTTAAAGAAAAAATTTGACAAACTTGAAGAAAAACGTTTTGTACCATCAGAAGATCAAATGGAACAAGAGTAATTGTACGAATTCTAAAAAATTATTTATATGAGAAAAAATTAATTTAAAAGTCAACTCTATTTAAGTGTATAATCGCAGCGTCTTTCACTTCAAATCAAGATTTAGTGTATATTAGCATTTTGGAAATATTAAGAAAGTTTTTATGCATGATGGATAGCGACATATATGTCAATTGAAGCACTGAAATACAAAAATTTTGCAGAATATGGCAATTTTAACCAAGAATATTTAGAACTACGAGACCATTGAAAATCAATTATCCCATGTCTAACCTTTTGCACTCGATAACTCAAATCGACAGCCATGTTGACCTAGTCACGATACATGAATCGCTGTTTGATAATTAATGTTTTTACTACTATAACATTTATATGGCTCGATCGGACGTATCGATAAAAATGTACATACATTTTATAAGAACAAGAGTTACTAAGAAAAAACGCATAGATCTTTGTAAATAATATAATAGTTTCTTTTATAAGTGTTTTATGAAACAGTGTCTATTTTATGATATCAAGATGTTTTTGCTCATTCTAATCTAACGGCTTGACGAGCTAACTGTCACTTCTAATGTAGGGAACTAAAGTAAAAACTAAAGAAAACCAATTACTTCGCTCAACAGAGCGGATCAGATAGTATATATAATAGGTCTTACGTTTACCCGAATAGCTGTTTGAAGCGCAGTTTGATCAGTCAAAGATGTTTTTCTAATCTAAGCGCTGTGAACGTTATTTAGTCTGTTCTATTGTTTTGTTCATTTCACTTTCAAAGCAAAAGTTAACAAGGTTGGAAGAGCAGTTTTTGACAGAAAAAGGCTTGCTCTTCCAGATAATCACTCTCCGAAATTCTAGGAGTACACACGGTATCGAAACTTTTACGTACGAAACTTCTACTTTCTTCGTGAAATTCCGTCACGAAATTCGTAAACTTTCTCTCCTACGCTTAAACTACGCAAGAATAATAAAAAAATTAGACAGATGGGTAGATCTCTGTGAGCCCTATCGAATGAGCTCAATTTCTTTTACTTTTGATTAATTTTTAATGGAATAAAATGCGAAATAGAGCGTGACGAAATTCACCATCCTGCATTTTAAGAGGGGTGCCCTCTCCTAAACATACTCTCGAATTTGGCTGGTTTGTAGAGGACATTTTCAATGATATGCCTATAGAATAAAACATGGTCAAGTATTGACAGTGTTATTAATTAATTAAGTTTAAATTCTAATTAAAATTTGCATTGCTTTTGGAAAGGGGGACCAGTATTTGATAAAGTTAGATGTGTTCCTCGTATACAAATATTCATTCAATAGCAGTATTAGATATTGATAAAACAGAATATAAAACTTATTCAAATTGTGACAAAATAAGTATTTTTTCTTTTTCATAAAAGGACGTTGTTCTTTAGAGTAGCTCCGTCTAGCTGTACTTGATTCATGTTTTTACTATCAGATATTGTGATTCTTTTTTGCATATGATACATAGAAATACAATTAGGATGAAACAAAATAGTTGTTTGTGCAGGCGAAAATAAGAAAACGTTGGGTGGGTTTGTTCAAAAGTCAAAATTTCGGCGATAGAAAATACCTGCATTAGAAGCATGAAGTTCCGTCACCGTCTCTATTTCTACTACAACTTTTAAGCCGTTGTAGCAATTAAGCTCAAGCTTCCAGGGAGATAGAGCTTCATAAGATACATCTACGATAAAAATCTCAATAGAATATCTCTTATCATTACCCAGACATGAGGCATGAAAGTCAAAAAAATCATTTGATTTTTCATCTGGTACTAAATTCTAACTAAATCTTATTGAAATGTTATATAGATCTCAAGTGGTTCGGTTTCACATATTCCATCTAAGAATTCCATAAGGGTCCTATTAGATTCTCATACGAATCTTATCAAATGCTTATATAAGATTCCTATCAAGTTCTATGCATTTCCATCGACAGCCTTCTTGAAAGTTAAATAAGATTTCTGTAAATATCAAATGTTCTATAAGATTCCTATAGAAATCGAATATTAAGATTGAATCTATAGGTGTGCGAATCTATGTGCGCATTGTATATGTATAAAGAAAAATATGCTTCAGGTAAATTACATCCAGCGTCAATCTGTTAGAATATTTGTTCTTTTTTTTCTCTACATTTGATCCACAGAATCTGTGTAGAATATTAAGCCTGCAAAAACACATCATGTAGACGATGATACTTCCATTCAAAATATCCTGCAATTGTATATGATTTTCATAAAAATCTTGCTAAAAACTGTACACAAATGCATAATAATGGACAACTGACATAGCTTACATTTCGTGCAACACCCCGCCAGTGACACCAAGATATGATCAAGTAATCTCAAACACTGTAAAAGGTGATCTTGACTGAAGCTGCAATATGTCTGTGTTTTTGTTTCTTTTTAATGAACATTTGAAGACTCGTTGTACAATGAAAGAAACTGGATCTTTTATAAATAAGACGAAGACTGGTTGATCTCAACCCCAAAAACATAGGATATGAATTCGACAATATCCTTCTCAGAGCTTCTACTTGCAGCACTTCTGGGATTTCAATCGTTTTTGTTTAGCGAGAAACTACATCTGTCGAAATTTTACTTGTTTCCGAAGAAGGCAAACTCCGTAACGGCTTGAAAAAAAGTTTTCGATCAAACCGGTACGCCGTGTAGAAGAATTTTATGGCCGATGAAACCTGTTTTTAAAAAAGTTGAAAAAAACGTGCTATCTAAAACGAACCTAACGTCATGACCATAGACTTACAGGATTTTTTCGCTGCCAAATGATTGAAAATCAGAAAAAAGTTGAACTGTGCTTAGTCCTGTCCTTTAAGAAAACAATTATTGTCACAAACGCAGAGTATTCATTGTTTGCTTGATAACAATGACAATAAATCTACAGAATATTCTTGTTCGTCCACTACTAATATAGAAAAAGACAATTTCACACTGGACGAGAGAGAGAGAAAGATAAAAATGAATCTTTGTTATCCTTATAACAAAATATATAGAGAGGAAAAACAGAAAGAGTTTTTCGCTATCATTAG